GAATTTTACAGTGTTTGACATTTATATCGCTAGTCACTGTTGCATCCATCCAAGGGGTGGTGTTGCGTGTACCGTTGGGTTGGGGGTGTGGAATATCACAGTGTTTCTTTCAGGCATCTCTCCGGTGGGGGGATTGCCCCTTCCCGGAGAAAATCCCCCCCCCCAACCCCCGGAGAAAATGTTTAAAAACAAAAATGCGAAAATTTAAAAACAATATTTTATTTGAAAAAAAAAAAAAAANAGCTCTCATTCAGCCACATCGGTTGGAAGAAGGAGTGTGACCAAGAGACGATGAAAAAAATACAACTCTTCATCTATATAAATGTATCTAATCTATATACATAATTCGCCAGCAAAGGTCAAACACCACCACGCAGGCTATATATAGATACGCCAGAGTGTGGTTAAATAATGAGTTCACTAGCGCGCAAAATATAATTCCCGATAACTACGCTAAATGATATATATCTATTTTAATAACGCAATTGCGTTTGTTGTGTAATATTTCTTTTCGGAAATAAAATCGTCACAATTTAAGTATTGTGTAAAAAAAAATATTCGGTTTAAAAGTGGTTGGGACATGAAAATATTAATTTAGTTCATGGGCGTGAAATAAAAAGTGTGCAGTGACGTATCATGCGGGAAGAGGTGTAGCAAAAATTGGGATTCTTAAATGTGCATTACTTGAGTTCACGTTTTGTCAAGTAAATTTACAAGATGAGAAGTTCACGCCGCCAATGTTTGGTGGGGTCTATCTAGTAAAATTGTACTCCGTGAATAGAGTAATGAAGACGTTTGTTATGAATCAAAATGACGCCTCTAGGATTTGACAAACCAGGTAGTTCCTGCTTTGCGTGTTGTCCTTCAAGGCCAGCCATATGGGACACAGTATATGTCGCTTGCAGGGATTTGGTGTGGCACGCTAAAATAAACCTAAGTCTAAATTGACCAGACCAATTATTGGATTGTCAAATTTGTATACGTTTTATTCATAGAATTAGAATCAGATTTTTTTTTAAACATTTGACATAGTAACAATATTATCCTATTTATAACCATAAATATCAATCAATTATAAATATTGGAAAATTGGAAGACCAAATACGGCATAGTGCCTAATAATGGGTTTTCATGAAATATATTGTGCCACCATACATTTCGTTATTGAATTTTGGTTTTTTGTTCATATTTGACCAACATGGAAAATTTGGAAAGCACGGTCACTGGATTAAATTGCATAACGTGTATAACCCAGTTCTGGTTCTGGTAATGTTTCGTTGCTGCAACCATGTACTGGAATCTTTGCAACGGTTGGGGTATGATGTTGCTATTCTAACAGTTCCTAGCTGATGCCAGGGCAGCCTTGAAGCTTTCGACCGATGTCAAGTTCACAGTGGCATCGTTCAGGTGGTTCCATGCTATTATTGTGCGTGGGAAGAAAGATTGTTGATACTGCACTGTGTTGCACTGAGGCACTTTGAAGCATTTGCTATTGTTTCGGGTGTAATTGTTTATGGGAATGTCAGTGGTGAAGTCAGTGTTCAGTGAGCGTTTTGCTCTGATCAGTCTATCCTGCTTCTGTGGGGTGAGGTACGTGCCTGCTGGGATGGCCGGCACCAGTCCTATGATCACTTTATATAAGAATATCAGGCGAAGTCCCTCTCGTCTGTCTTTAAGTGGGGGGAGGGGATGCCAAATCTTATTAAGAGACCAGTGACGAAGCCAGGAGTAGTGGATTTGTAGTCTCGAGCGATAAAACGCACAGCGTTACGTTGAATTCGCTCCATCTTGTCCACGTCTTGCTTAAGGTGTGGGTCCCAGATGATCGCACCATATTCCAGTAGTGGACGGACGAGTGCGAGATAGGCATTTCGTTTGCAGGAAGTTGGGCAGTGGCGCAGATTTCTTCGGATGAAACCTAGGGTGGAGTTAGCTTTTTTTGAAATTTTGTTTATAAGGGGTGACCATTTTAGGTTATTTGAGAGGAGAATTCCAAGGTATGGACTATTAGTGACTATTGGATACTTGTTGGAGGATTATTTCGTTTAGTGAGTAAATATGGGTTGATGTTGTTTTTTTTCTTGAGATTGTCATAGTGTATCATTTGGTTTCATTAAATTTCATGCCCCAATTTGTCCGCCCAATTCATAAGGAACTTCAAATCTGTTTAGATGTGGTTGTGGTTTTTAAACTCCTTAAGGCAGGCCTGCACAACTCAAAATGTAAGGCTGGCCGTAATACTTTATGAAAAACGTTTGTGAGTCATAAGACAATAGGACAGGGGGGGGAGGAGAAGCTATAAAGAAAATAATACGAGTAAAGAATAGTTTGTTACTTCGTGAGCCGCAAAGTAGGTGCTGGAGGGCCGCATGCGGCCCGCGGGCCGTTTGTTGTGCAGGTTGAGGAGAACAAGATTCATAGCTTGCTAGTGTTAAGTCCTACACACATTTTTTCAACCAGTGCGCAGCTAACTGATCAAGGATTTCCGGGTTATTTTTAGCAAACAATGTTTGGAAATTAATGTCTCTTCCAGTTTTTCCACTATTCTACATTTTTGTGTAATAATAAATAAAGCAGGTAAGGATAAACTTTATGTATAAACATTTATCGGTCATATTATGCGACTACTGCTTAATATCAATGAAATATGATTTTGTGAAGAAAGTTTAATTTAGTTTAGTGTCAACAAATCGACTTTAAGAAGACAAGTTAGGCTAAGACTAAGGGCCAAAATAGTTAGTTCTAGTTAATTATTATTAGTAAGCTCAATTAATGTTACTAAAATTGAACAGTATAACTAACTGAATAACTGTTTCATGTTAAGATTTTGTAAGGATCATATTTTCAATTTGAAACTGAAAACAAATTACAAATACAAATCCTGTAAGTGTAAGGGTGATACAGTAATCAGTACTGAGACTGAGTGGCATAAGCATTGCAGAAAAAAACTGTTAGTTTAAAAGTGAAACTAGATATTCATCCTTCGACTTTTGCAGTAGCCTCTAACTCTAAGAAATTTTTAATCTTTACACTGTACTAACGAACGTATTAAAGTATTAATAATATTAAGTTAAGTAAGAGACTCTTTGACTTAAGTATTGAATAGTTTAAGCTAGCCTCACTGAGTCTCTCAAACTCATGAATGGCAGTTTCAGTTACAATTATGGCAGTTATGGATATAATATACGAAGTGTCTATATGTCCGGCGACTGGACAAATAATTCTCTAGATATTCGTCCGGCAACCAGGTCACATGGCCGCCATAACAAAGGTGGACGAGATATCTGTCAGTCAATCTTGTCACGTGACCGCTAATAGTCGATCATAAAACTGGCGTCGGAGATGCATTGGGGCGACGAATATTGGGGAGCGAGCAATGCATACCAGAAGGAAGAAATGCTGAAAATGAGAGAGAAAGGAGAAAAATGATAGTGAGGGTGATAAATAATTAAGGCGGGAGGTAGAAATTTCACAAAGAAATAGACCCTATATCTTAATATAGAGCCAATGTAGTGTGCTGTTGGGGTAGCATATTTCTCACACAATATTAATATTAATAGCCTAAAATAAAACTTTTTTGACAGTAGATCTATTGATCTACTCATCAGGCTCAATACTCAGGAATTGTGTGATCCAGTCTGTTTGGAATTTCCCATGCCCATTTTGTAAGTCTAACTTTTTTATAAAAATTAGTTTCAGCATTTTTTTGTAAAGGAGCCAATCTAGAACATCAACACACTCATCACCTTAATTCTTTCCCTCCTCCCTTCAAACTTGTGATTCAATATAATCATCACCTAAATTATGCCCCCCCCCCCCCCCCCCNTCCCTTCAAAAGTGATAGATCATTATCATCACCTAAATTATGTCCCTCCTCCCGAGAAAATTTGTGATTTAACACAATTATCACCTAAATTCCCCCCCCCCCAACCACATGCCATTTTTGTTTCCTCTTATTGTCTTTTTTAACTACAAAAATAACAACACTTAGCTGGGACTAAAAGCATACCCTAAGGCAGCGGTTCCCAACTTCTGTTAAGTGCATCCCTGGCATGCCGCTGGGGGTACGCAAACATTTTATTGATTCTGCCAGAAAGTGGCAAAAAGTTATAATTTGTTCGAACATTTTTTAATTTTCAATAAAAATATTGATTACAAGCAAAATAATTCTTCACATTTTTCAGCAAAACAAATCCAGTGATAGTTCAAAAATTTAATTTTAATGCAGGGATAGCTATTTTTTTTATTTTAAAAGATCAACATGGACAATAACTTGTGGGCTGAGTGGTGAAAATGTGTTTTATCCAAGCTTTTGATTGCAGTTTAATTCCCTAGCTGATATCCCAGTTTTTTTTTTTGTTATAATTTTTTTGGTTTCCCATATTAATTTTGTTAAAGAGAAATTCAAAACTAGGCAGATTGTGGGGGTGTTTTTGCCCCCCCCCCCCACTCAGATTTATTAGTGTCTGCTTCCTCTTTCTCCACCCCCTCTCTCCCCCCTCCCCCTCTGTAAACACACCTGAATCCTATGGTGAATAGGAATGCAAAATATAAATCCATTATTTAAATAATTTTATCAATTGATTTTTGTTTGTTCAACGGTGCATTCTGTAAATGTTGACATAAGCTTGGTTTTAGATTGACCTGAGATTTGATAGTGATGTTGTAGAATAGCTATGGTAACCACTCAAGACAAGTTTATCTTGAGTGGTAAACTCTGGTTAAAAACATGTTTTCAAGGCAGAGGCGTGGCTAGAGTGTTTGGCTCCCGGGGACAATTTTCATTTTAAAGCACCCACTTGCTTTTTTCAAGTCTCAAACCCGTTATTTTCATCAATAAAATAATATCAAAGCACATTTTGGCGGCCCTAACTACCTGGCGCCCGGGTACATCTGTCCCCCCCCCCTTTCACCCCGCCTCTGTTTCAAGGTCAAGTGGTAATAGTAACAGCCATATAATTTAATGCTCAGGTCTGCTGAGCAACTCAGACAAATGATGAGCTGCTCTTACACAGACTGTGGAGTTGTTCATTGTTTTAGGGTCAACTTTTAGTAGTGGATGTCACCATGTTATACTAGGACAGATGGATTGTGTAACTGATACAGTGTATTCAATAGCTGGTTAGTCAGCATGAAATCAAATGTTTCTATTTATTACAATAGTAATAGTGTGTTATATATATATGTGTGTGTTTGTGTATATATTTAAAATATTCACAATTATATTATAAATGCCCTTGCAGTTTATTATAGAAATATTTTTCTGAAAATCTCGGATATTAAATTACAGATTATTTTGAATATCTATAGAGAGTATAATTTTTTTTTTAAGGAGATCTTTCTACCATGGTGTTTGCAATTAATGGGAAACAATAAGTATTAACTTTGTAATCATGAGTGACACAAAATTATTGTGTAAAAAGCTATTAATTTAATTTTCATTTGGATCACAGTACTTACGACGGTTAGAATAAAATTGCTCTGATAATGGGTATTCTCATAAAAGTATGGGATTGTTCTTGTTGAATTAGTGACCTAGATATAACAGCAACAAGAAATTAAATTTCATGCTAGAGAAGGAACAATGTCAAATGTATTTGAACTCACAATAGACTGTGATATTTGCTCAGTATTTTTATCTCATAATGTTATCCTACTGGTATTATACCATATTTATGGTCTAAAACAAGAATTTCTGTTAAAATATTTTTTAATTAAAATGTTTTGATATAAAAGGGGCATAACAGTTCTGATCACATACCAATTAAATTTAAAACAATATACTTCCTTAAATAGTTAATGCTATTTTAATAGACAATACCTAATGTGGTATACTTTTGTTTTTTATCGGAATAGTCAGCAGAAATTATTATTGTCTTGAAATCAGAATAATTATAAAAGAGTTAAATGCTTGATGGATTTTTTACTATTAAATTTATGGATGGAGCAAGTATCTTCAAGTGTGTTTATGTCATGGCAACAACTGGCACAAATGCCAAAGTTGGCATGGAAAATTTAAAAAAAAAATATTTTATTATATGTACATTTAAACTTTGTAGACTAAAACTTAATTAAATATACCAAATATAAAACACTGACGTCTGTTTAAGTTTTAAGTTATATTATATAACATATTCTACTGTTGCAGCAATAAGAAAAAAGAAATTTTTGTAATTTAAAACTCTTACAATGCATGAAATAATAAAATGTTCCCCTAAATTTATGTTGGTATACTGGAGAATTTCACTAATATTTAAGAAATTTTAAAATTGAAGGTTTTATTATCCTCACTTTATAACGGTTGGACACCCCTGGATCATGGGCTGTTAATTAAATGAGTCAATTAATTCTTTTCACAACTGCAAACATATTCCTTCAAATTTTTTTAAACATTTTATTTTAAGGTTGAAGTCTTATTGGAGTTGTGAAAATTTCTCTGAAAGCTTGTTTAAAGGGATTCAGTTTCATTTATTTGCTTTACCTGCTTTGTAATAAAATGTGTCTGAATAGTTACCCATTGTGATTCACCAATTGTCCTTTTAAAAAAATACAGCGTTTAACTGCAGTCCACCAAGGACCATCCAAAGATTTTTATCGCATTAGCAATGGCGTGATCAAGTGTACAAATATTTGAGAGCATATTTCTATTTCATAACAGTTTTAAACAACTTTATTATGGAGTCCTGCAATTTTTAAGTTGTTTTATTGTTATTTGTGAGCTCTAAGGTTTGTAATAAAACTATGGTTATTTGCTGGGCCGATATTACTGGAGGCGCCACAGTACATAGCAATAAAACCTGCACATTCAGGGTGAAGATGCCCCCTCCCCTGCCCTACCGAAATGACATCCCCGTTATGCCTAGCAATGATCTTAAAGGAATGAAATGTCTGTTTACTTTCCCCAGTTTGAGCCACTGCCTAGTGATGTACTGCTTGGAATGCTAAACAAAGAACACAGGATCTGATGTACCGGTTATTCAACATGCTTCTTACAGAAAGACTTGCCAATGTTGTCCTACTCTGTTGTATGATACAACCAGTAGTGCTTGTGAAATATCCATGTGATCTTAGAATTTTTGTGGAAGATTATGAAGTACGCTTTTTTCAATCTATTAAAGAGGGCTATAGCATAAGAGTGTGTTTTATTAGTTAAGTAACAACTTTTATAACTTCTGAATGTTGGAATCCAATGTTTCTATACGAATAGGAATCAAAATTCCATCTTAGTAGGAATAATTATATCTTTATTATTCAATGTCTGCAATAGACATGATGTTAAGATGCCTTGTTATAATAATAAATCTGAATTTGGCAGGGATTTAATTTTAATCTGAACCAAGTTAATGCCATTAATTTAACTTTCTTTCTTATGAAATGTGGAGTTTCATGATTTTTTTATATATTATTCATATAAGTATTGTGAATTCATTATTTTTTTAAAAATATTTCTATTTCGTTTATTTAGAAGATGTGATTATATTTACAGACCTGTTTACCCTTGGGTTAAGGTCAGCTTAGTTTTCAGCTCTCCAAAATGTAGTTTGTAGCTACAAAGAGTAGGTTTGTTGATACAAAGAGTAGTTTTGTTGAGAGGGGGGGGGGGAGGAGGGGGGCTGGTGTTTGCATTCAATAAACAAGTTGTGTAAGGAATTCCACTCAACTACTTATGTCATTTAACACAAATAAATAAACAGGATATAGTCCTGTGATTTGTTTCTTAAGAATGAGAAAAGATATAAGGCAAGCACTGTGGCAGTTAAGTATTAAATACGCAATTCTCTGAAAGATAATATTCTGGTTGGTTTATTAAAATCAAGAACGCAAAGGGCTATCACTTTAATTCTTATTTGATTTCTTACGGTGTTAATGTTAACCCACACAAAAAACCAATAACTTTTTACAGAAAAACGCCAGAATTTATTTTTTTTATTATTAAAATTAAATCAACATTCTAAAAAAATTCCAAAAACCGCAGGTTTTTTTTTTTTAGGCTTGTCTTAGGCTTAAAAAACCTAGTTACTACGGCAAAAGCGTAGAGGTAAACAGGTCTTTATTTATATCTGTTTGTATTTTGGGAATTCAATTAAAAAGCTTACATTTATGTTTAGCAAAAGGATTCCGAGGTTAAATTTGTCCTTGTCAGAAAAAATATTTGAAAATAAATTTTCATGCCTACCCTACACAATATGACTCAATCATCCATTCGCAGTTTTACAGATAAGGTTTATCTTTCATCCACAGGTTGACAACACTAATATTTGTCTTGGTGAATATGTATCTAAAGGTAATGGACTGTATGCATCATGCCCTGATATGCACAGATATATTTAAGCATCTCTTCACTCACCCGGTGTATTGTTGATGAGAAATAGGCTTTTAACAAGATAATCGTTGCTCTCTCAGCAAGTTAAAATGTCATGTTCTGTGTAACTTTATCAAATCTTTACAAGTCAAGTTATTTATTTTATCATTAATTTTATGTTTCATTCAAGGGACTCAAAAAGTCCAAGATTATTGCCATGGCCCTAACAAGTAAAATGCTATCTGTTGCATTCTAGATTAACGTCCACTGTTCAAGACTTTGATATTATTTTACATTTATTGTGTACAATTACACAAGTTTTTTTCAACAAATTGGATCACTATTAAATTTTTTTTCTACGCAGAATGTCGACCTTTTGTGTCAAGCTTTAGCAGGTCTGATCTGCCACAAGATTACCCTAATGAAAGTTTGTCCATAGAGAGGCCCTCTAACATCAATCTGGTGGGCTTGAACAGTCCATACCCAGGAGACAATAATATATATCCTGGTCTCACCATCCAATGGGGACCCCCTCCTTCAGGTAGGACTTTGATCATTAAATATTGTAACACCTTGTAATCTTATGAGATGGTAACATGTTCACCATCTTTCATACACTATATAATTTTATTGTGGGAATATTCAGTTGTGTTTATTAAGAAGTAACCATTTACGTTATTTAATTTTTTATTAATTTCAATACCTTTGCACTATGTGGGAATGGGAAAGTCATTTAACTGTCATCTGAAATGTGTAAATTAATAGCTGTTATAGGGATATATTAAACATTTTATTCATAAAAACTTTTTGTATATATGCAGGATTATTTTTTTTATGTGCAATATGTTAATTTTTTTCCATTAACCTTTTTTTGTATTTATTTCTTATGTCATTCCATTAGAAGCTGCAAAGAGAGATTTGGAAGGCTTTTTAATAATTTGGAAGGATAAAGACGTCTTTTGCAGACTATTTCAGTTAAAACCTGGGTCGATCCAGCATAACACTAAGGTATTTTTTACAGAGATGATAGTTTACATAGAACTTGCTGATATGATAGGATCTGACAACATCTCAATATTTAATTAGAAAATGTCCATCACACACTTGTATAGAAGAATATGAAAACATGTAGAACAGTGGTCAGTAAACCCTGGCTAAGAAGCTGCTCTTTCCACTATTAAATTTCAATTGTTTTTTAAATCATCTATGTATAAACCATCCACCCTATCTGACTTATAATCAGAATTTAAAATAAGAACCAGCATAACTGTAGTTGATGGTGATGGGGACCATGGTGGTGCAAATGTACTTGATATTTTATTTCTATTTTTTTATTTAATATTTTTGTCCACATGACACTTTGCTTAGGTTGATGAGGGGGGTCTGTGAAGTAGTCTAGGCAGGAGTTGGTTTAAGCTTCTAGAATCTTATTAAAAGTTGTTGTTGTTTTATATTCTTTGCCTTAGGTGACTTTCAGTTACGACGTAGAGAGACTGAACCCAGTTTCCAACTACTCTGTCATTGTGTACAGCACTCCTCCACCTAAGCCAGGAGATCAGAACGATGAAAAAGTCTTTCTTAGGATGAGCTACACAACATTTAGACAATATCGTGAGCTATTTTCACATCTTCATATAGTTTTCTGCAACTATTTGTATACTGTTATACTGTGATCAAATACATTAACCAACCCAGGTTGAAGGTGTGTTGGTATTTTCAACTTTAATATTGCTGTTATGTTCTGTTTGGGTGTTTGTGCCATGTTCTGTAGACCCTGTCTAGATGTTTGTGCTATGTTCTGTAGACCTGTTGATGTGTATGTTCTTTAGACCTTGTTGTGTATGTGTTAAGTGCTATGTTTTAGACCTTTATTGTGTGTATGAGTTATGTCTGTAGACCTGTTGATGTGTATGTTGTATGATCTTTAGAACTTTTTGGTGTGTATGTGTTATGTTCTGTAGACCTTATTGATGTGAATATGCTGTGAAGTTCTACAATACTGCTGTTGTACATTTGTTTTCTTTTTTGTGACTCTACTAATACATTGGCATAGATTTTGATTGTCACCAATCCTATTTCAATAGCTGCCCAAGGATTTGCACCTGCCCTCTGGGCACCATCTTTGTCTGTAAAAACGTGGACCAATGGAAGTGTAGATGTGAAGTTTACCCTCTCACCTCCTGAGTTTAACCTCACATTCTTTGAAGTTCTGCTGCTAAAGAAGTCGTCAGGATGGTATAACTTCTATCAGAAGGTTAACTACACTGGCACGGTTAGTTTGAAAGGAATTTTCTAATGTAAAGATAGAAATTTGATGAGGTGAGATGGTTGAAATCTGTTTCTGATATAAAGATAGAATATGCAGATGGTAAAAAATATGACAATGCATTTGCAGATGCTAAGAAGTATGACATAATTTACAGATGGTAAGAATTATGACATATTATTTGCAGATGGTAAGAAATAGAGATAGAATTTGTAGATGGTATGTGAAATAAAATTTGGCAGATGGTAAGAAATATGAGTTAAATTTGTCAGATAGTAAGAAATATGTGATATAATATAAGTTACATATGGTAAGAAATTTGAGTTAAATTTGGCAGATAGTAAGAAATATGAGAATTTACAGATGATAAAAAATATAAGATAAATTTGCAGATGGTAAGAAATTTGAGATAGAATATGAAGATGGTAAGAGAGATCTCTTGGTCTAATCTAACAGTTACATCCTTAAGTCCCTATAAGCGTTTGCCACCTCCATTTGATAGTATTAAGAAGGTTTGATCAATGGTTCCATAACACATTTTCTAAGCACTTTTTATTGGATGAGTATTTTCACATTCTGGACACACAAAAATTGAATGTCATTAGAAATGTAAGAATCAAGACCTGATATCATTTTATTATCATTTTATTGGTATCTAACATATAAGAGAAAGGGTAATCACAAGATGAATGGTGATCATAACAGGAATGGTTATCTTAACAGGAATGGTGATCATCGGTGGCAAAGTGATTCATAATTTTGTCTTAAGTTGGTGCAATTAATTATTTTTGTGCAAGTTTTGCCTGGTCAATTTGGAAAAATAGACTTATCTATGATGTTCAGGTAACATCATCCCCATGATGTTCAGGTAACATCATCCCCATGATGTTCAGGTAACATCATCACCATGATGTTCAGGTAACATCATCACCACACTTGATAAGTCATCAGAAAATGATGTACTTCTTACGACGAATCCACTATGATATTGTCTTCAGATTTTTTAATATTTATCAAGCTATTCATCTTGGTGATGTGTCTTCAAATTATGGGTAACAAGTCATTTCAGTATGCTAGACAGTAATACCAAACTGGAATTTGTGTCGTTTTACTCATTTGCTGGGTCACATAAATCAGCTGAGATTTTTATCTAAAGCTATGGAGTGCTTTTCGATGGCAAATTAGATGTTGTGTTTTCATGTTCCTCAGGTCTACTCTAAGAAAGATCCAGAAGGTGCTGTCACATTTTCTAACCTACCGACAGATGAATATTCGGTTTTGGTAAGTAGGTCATTGTGTTAAATTTTAGGTCACTGATCGCTGTCAGTATTTACTGATGAGATTCCCTGTCAAATCACATTGTAAATTTGGGTCCCAAATTGTTGTGCAGCATCATTGTGGATTTGTGGGAGTTAGAAACAGGCCCATTTATTCTATTGTTGGTGCTTGTTGACAATATCTATTTATCATGAATCTTCCTCTCAGCTCTCCCCATCTCGTTTCAAGTGGGTAGCTCAAATATAAAGTTCACATCCTTCTTCTTCTTCTTCTATATATTAAGGGCCCATGATCAATTTATTGATCAATGTTTCTGACAACATGTCTCTCAATAATCATATTTCTCACATCTGTCGCTATTCGTTCACCGCTTTCCGTCAGATCAGCTCCATCCGCCACTACCTCACAGTCAGCGCAACAGAATCACTAGTCTGTGCTCTTGTTCTCTCTCGTCTTGACTATGAAAACTCTCTTCTGTCAGTTTCACCAAAACATTTGGTAGAAAAACTGCAAAAAGTTCAAAACTCAGCTGCTAGGTCAATTCTAAAGCAAATAAACGTGATCATGTCACTCCACTACTTCATTCACTTCATTAGCTCCCCATACACGCATTGATTACATGCTGTCTGTCCTGTCACAACTTTTTCTCTGGTTCCAGCCATTCCTATCTTACTGAACATCTTACTGTCTATTCTCACCCCTTCAAAAGCTTCATTCTTCCGCAGGCACATATTCTTTCCCAGAACATGCACTAAAACATATGGTGAGCGATCTTTCTCTTTCTGTGCCCCAAAACAATAGAATTCTCTCCCGTTACACATCCGCAATATAACGACCATCACAGCCTTTAAATATGCCCTCACGCCCCATCTCTTCAGACTGTACTATACCTACTCTTTCTCACCCCCATCTGACTGATAAACAATGCTAGATTCTGCTGGGTTCTGTCCACTGCTGGACAGGTGCAGATAGTACTTGGGTGGGTGAGGTCATTGCTGTTTTTAATTGTATACGTTTCTGTAATTGCTCATTTTTATGTCAAGCGCAGCGAGCCTAGCCATAGGCTGGGGTACTGCGCTATATAAAATAACCTAATAATAATAATAATAATAATAAATATTATAATTACCATTTACTTGACATTATTTTTTTATATGTGTAACAGAGATAGAATGTTATTTTCTAAGCCATGGAATAATGTCTAATATTTAGGATAATAATTTGATATTGAACTCTGACCATAACGAAATGTCTTAATACTTGTATTGTTACAGGTGCGACCCATAGATCCCTTTCGTCATGATGTGACTAAATGTCTTTGTTGGAAGAATGATACTTCCAAATACTGTGAGGCTGCATGTGCCAGCATTAACTCTGATGTATTCCTGGTCAATGTTACAGGTGAGGAATGTCACTTTACATGTACAGTTGAACAGAGATGAGAAGAAGTGACATTAGTGGAAGTAAACAAGCTAGATCTAAGATTGTCACCTGAATACATTTATTTTGTTGACTCTGCAGAAGAACCCGAAATAAAAACCCCTCTGCTGTCAACTACAACACCATTAACAGTAAGACCATCATCACCTACAGTAGAAAGGCCTACTGCAACTCCCACAGCTGGTGGTGGATCTGAAAAGCTACCAGCTAAGGCCACCGATGATGAGACGGCTTGGGTCATTGGTGGCTCAACGCTGGGAGCGGTCCTTTTTATTATAATCTGTCTTGTGTTCGCTTGTTGGTTCAGATCCAAGGATTCATTCTCCCTTATCAAAGGTATGTTTATGTCTGTATTGCCTTTAATGTCTTGCTCTCTTGTCTAAAACAGAATATAATCGCCATTTACTGTCCTGTCTGATAAAGAATATAATCGCCTGTTACTGTCTTGTCTGATGCAGAATATAATAAAACTTATATTTACATAAATTTATTATCAATTCTGAGAACTGTCCTTTTTGGGTTATCTGTTAAAACACATGTTTTTAATATACATCACACTAACTTCATAAAATAAATGTTTCTGCATAAAATCTGATTTTTAAGAAATAACTCATGTATTTTAATACATCAAGTACATGTTTTTTGTTCATCTATAAAGATAATAATATTACAATGTATATCAATAAAAGTGTTTCTAAAATGTCAAATTTGGAGTGAGTGGGGGGGGGGGGGGGTTGAAAAATGCCTAAATCGGGGGGGGGTGGAAAAAAAAAAAATAACTCGTTTTTTTGGAAAGTTTTAAAAAAAATTTGGAGGGAGGTATGGAAGGAGATCTGAAACATGCCTAAATCAGGGAGTGTCAGAAAAACAAATATATACTCGTCTTTATGGAAAGTTTTAAAAAAAATGAAGGTTGACTACAAATGAAAATAAGACATGTATTGATAAGTTATATATATTTATTATTAATAATTATTAAATATTACAGAGTTAATTTATCAATACTTTGGGAAAAGAAGAGTTAATAAAATATGACACTTGGTTCTTGTTATTTACAGTAAAAAAATGCTTCCATCGTATTTGTCTAGGCACTGACAAACAAAAATTCTCTTTAAGTCCATCTTCAGTGGACCCGATACCAGATAATAAAGGTAAGTCATGACTTCTGCCATATTAAGCTTGAAGATTATCATTTTAGTTCTTAACCGTCTGGAACCTAAGCTCACAAGCTAACCTGTTGGTACTTGAATCGAGACTTACACTTGAATCGAGACTTACATGCTAACCTGGTGGCTCCTGAATCTAGGCTTACAAGCTTACCTGGTGGTTCTTGAATCTAGGTTCTTGAAATCTATCTTCTTTATTTGAATTCTGCTTCCATTCAGGACTGCAAGTGGACATTTCTATAGTTTTCAACTCTAGACATTTCTACAATTTTCAACTCCATCTTCTGCATTTAATTAACATCACAGAGCTCTGTTGACATTTGATGCTGCGCAACTCCAGTTTCTAAAATTGACATCACCAACCTTTACTGATGTTTAATTATTTTTTTAATATACTATATGACGGCACTGAGTTTAACTTTGTTGACAATGTTTTCTGTTTTGACTGCAAGTAAAAGCTTTCACAACAGTGACAATAGTGGGTGTTTGAAGGTGGGATATCTAACCACTATTTTGTAATTTGTCACAGGCAGTCCATCCATTGTCAAAAGAACTGTATATATCATGTCTGCTGATGACCATAATGCCCATATTGAAGTGGTTAAGAGCTTGGCCCAATTCCTTGAGGTAAGCGCTGGAAACTTTAGGGCTGCTTCTTGGTGGCAGTAAGCATGAAATAAACAATTTTAATGGAAGAGACTCAAAATTATGAAATGTATTATTTCAATCAATGTACTGTAGAACCATATGTATAACATTATCATTGTAGCCAATCACTGCATGCTTACAATTGGTTTTTATGGTTTTACCTCTACCAAAATCCCAAGTTATTGACATATGGCCATAAATTCTCTTTTGACAGCTTGAATAAGTTGTGTCTTTAATTAGCAGACTTTTTTTGTCAAGTCTAATAGCAATCTTGGATCCATGACTTATCCCGGAAAAGGAATGAAATGTTCTAATTGCTCTGAAATCATTGTGCCGCAGGTTCACTGTTACTGTCAAGTTATCTACCCGCCTATGGAAGAAGACATTGACAAAGAGCCCTACACCTGGTTCCTGCGGAGCATGTCCAGGACGGAACGGATCATTTTTGTTGACTCTGAAGGGGCAGAAAAACTTGTTCAAGCCCATATATACATGAAGACATACAAGAGTAGAGAGCTTCCACCACAGGGAGACTTGTTTACCATGTGCCTGAAGCATATTTTCAATAATGCTGAAGCAAGGTCAAATCTAGTTCTAGTACATTTTGGCACAGACCGCTGCCACAAATCTCTTCACTACCCACCTACCTTCCAGCTACCAAAACAGTTTCCAGGATTTCTGCGTTGCATCCATGGTATCTCTCCAAAGAGCTCTGCCTCATATGCTGTAAGTGTCTTTTCTGTTTCATTTGATCATAAGTAGCTTAACATTTAAACTGATCACTGAGGGAGATCTTTGTTATATTGTGTATGACAGAGGCAGATGTTTCATCATGTTATCTATGTCTGAGGCAGATGTTTGTCATGTTATCGATGTCTGAGGCAGATGTTTGTCATGTTATTGATGTCTGAGGCAGATGTTTGTCATGTTATCGATGTCTGAGGCAGATGTTTGTCATGTTATCGATGTCTGAGGCAGATGTTTGTCATGTTATCGATGTCTGAGGCAGATGTTTGTCATGTTATCGATGCCTGAGGCAGATGTTTGTCATGTTATCGATGTCTGAGGCAGATGTTTGTCATGTTATCGATGTCTGAGGCAGATGTTTGTCATGTTATCGATGTCTGAGGCAGATGTTTGTCATGTTATCGATGTCTGAGGGAGATGCTAAACTTTTCTTTTTTTTTTTTTACCTGTCATATCCATCGCATTATTTGCTCAGGTTGTGATGTCAGGGAATTTTACACAATTCAAAATCCGTTTTAATTATTTGTAATTATTTTTTTTACCTTTTTCAAATTTGAATAGAGTAATATGTTTGGCAGGTGTATATGTCTGTAGTTTGGCTGCTGTATATGTCTGTAGTTTGGCTGCTGTAAATGTCTGTAGTTTGGCTGCTGTATATGTCTATAGTTTGGCTGCTGTATATGTCTGTAGTTTGGCTGCTGTATATGTCTGTTGTTTGGCTGCTGTATATGTCTGTAGTTTGGCTGCTGTATATGTCTGTATCATAGAAAGTTTGGAGCAGGGGGAATGCTGTGTAAACTGTTGAATAAAATAATTTCATCTACCAATATTTCAGAATTGTCTACCCATGTGTGTGGACAACATCCAGGCTCTGCCACAAGGGAATCAACTGCTCTCTGCCGTTGAGTTGTCAAAGAGTTTTGAGAGGGACAACCCCCATTGGTCAGAAAGTTACTTCGGTACAGCATCAACCGAATTGCGGACCATGCAATCATGCTCCGGGGATTCAGGAATAAACGTAGATTATGATCTGGGTCGATCTGTCTCCACCCAGGACCTCAGTGGGCTGGACTCTGCAAGTCCAACATCTCCAACATCCAAACCGCCCTTCTTTGGAACAAGAACAAATGTTGATGCTATTCATCCATCCCAAGTGCCTGAGTTGAGTATTTTCACTGTCCCTTGTGATTACGATAGCATTTGTCCTAGCTCTGTGATGGAACAACCAGATTACACTTACGCAGTTATTCCACCTGAGTCACCATCACAGTTTGTTGATTCCTTCAGTCGTACTGTTAACACTGTCAACAAGGAGAGTGGCTTTGGTTCCATCTATGAGGCAGCTTATGAAAATGGGAGCGTACCTGGGGAGCAGTACAGTGACCATTTCACACCACCCAGTGGACTGGAAGACTGTCAGGGGTCTATACATCCGCCAGAATCTCCATCAGATATGGATAATACCAGCTCAGCCCTGAGAGAAATCAACTACAACTATGACAAGTTTGTCTTAAACATTTAAAGAAGGCTAAAAGTTGTTTTTTTCATAGCAATACACATGATTCTGCTCACAAAGTCAGTTTTAACAATGTCATTATTCTGCCTGTTCCCGGTGCTGTGAGTTCCTGGCTGTGGAAAAACTAATGAGCAGTATTGCTATTATAAATTGAAATGTCAAAGAGACAAGGGAGGCTACTCAGGACACTAACTAAACAAAGCTTTTCATTGTGTTAAAATTGGAATCAACGATGACCTTGAAATTTGGGTTCATAAACAATCTCAAACATGGACTATGTATCAAATAATTTTCAGAAAGAAATTTTTATTTTAAAATTTGTTGGAACTCATCGCCATAAAGAATTTTAAATTTGTTTTTGATAGATAGGTTTTTATTATTAGTACTTAAATATACTCTTAACACTGTTACTGTATTGAATATTTTAATATGTTGTTTCAAAATATATTATACAAATTACTTGACCATAGATTCAGATGGTTAAATATGTTTGTTAAAGACTGTCCATAATTAAAGATATTTTGCATACCTTGTTGAAGATACATAATAAGTTAGCTTCATGTAGTATTAACATCTCGGATACTTCAAGAAACTAATTATATATATAATGAGAATCTGAGTAATCTCTTCTAATGGATAGTTGAAGTTCCTTACATTTTGATGACACAAATGGCCAGGGCTTTAATTCAACACTTTTGCCCCCATTTATCAAAATTCTCTCATTTCCTTTGTTATTAACCTATATAAGTGTATTCTCCTGATTTATTTATAGCCATTCCTTGATGTTAATTGTAAAATAGCATTTATTGTGATACTGTGTATTATTTCAAACATTGTTCAAACATTCTAATTTCTTAACCATAGATTGAGGTGGTTAAATGGGGGTGTTGGTATTTCTTAAACTGTTCTTTTGGTACTGGAAATCCCATACCAAATTTTATCAGAGAAGCTAGGGCAGTGACGCCAAAGCAAAGCCAATTCCTGCCATAAAAGAACCATTGTCCGTTGGTGCCCGTTAACGGTCAATTTGTCTTCCTGCTAATTTCTAACTGTCCCCTGTAGTTAATATTTACAGATATCTTGTTATAAATGCACCCCATATTATTAACAGATGAAATTATAGATCAAATATAGTCTATCACTTGACAATGGCCTCCTAGAGTACAGCAGAGTGTTTAAGTAACAATTTGAAGCATTATGAGGGGGTCAGTTAACAAATTCATTATGATTTATTTGGGGGAGGATTTTTGTTAATGAAGAGATTCTTAGGGGTGATAGATTTTCATTGTGATGAAATAATATAATCCATTTGTACTGCAGCCTTATTCAACACAGCTAAGTACTATAGGAGATTGATTGATTGAATGCTTTTATAGCCCTTGTGGTCCATGCTATTTTAGCATGCTCACAGCGCTCCAATGTTCTAAAATCTTTTTAAAGAAAAATGGCTTTAAATCATCCTTAAATGATTTTTTTATTATTTTAAATTTCCCTCAAAGATTGAGGCAAACTGTTTTTAGGTGCAATAGCTTCAAAGGAGCGCATTCTGTATGACTGCTTTCTGTGTCCATCCATACTGAGAACCCCCAGTGAGGACTTTGTTGAAGAACGCAGGTTCTGTAAGGATACATCTTTAGAAATCAGTTTTTTGAAGATATTCAGGTGCAGAGCCTTCTATACAGCTATATGCCAGGGACGGCATTTTGTGGTCAATGCGCTCATTCACAGGAAGCCAATGGAGATCTTTAAGAACTGGGATGAAGTGGTCCGATTTCTCAATACGTGATACAATGTGTGCTGCAGTATTTTGTACCTTCTCAAGTCTCTAAATTTGGTTTTTAGGTAAACCCCACAAACAACTATTAGAGTAATCAATCTAATCTTGATTGGATTAAAGTGACTGCTACAGCATTGGCAGTTCTCTTATCAAGTTGGGGACGCAGCTAACCCAGGGTGCGTCAATGACAGAAACAAGCAAAGTTATAACCTCAGTCTGGTTAATGATGTTTAAGATGATGAATAATTTTTCGGACGTGAGTTTTCACAGAATTTAACGGGCAGCTTAGTGTAACTGATCTTTATCTTGTTATATTTTTTTGTCTTGTACAAATGGTCACTTGTAATATAAAAACATGGTATTGTTATATGGAAATGAATAGCTTATTTTTGTTAAAACCACAAATTATATTTGTCTTTCTTGTTATGCTTGCCTTCTATACAGTCTTGTAGGATTGAACATGGTGTTAAAATAAGATGTTACCCTCATATCAACAATAACTGTGTTATTTCATTTATTTAAATACTTTTTTTAACATTGTTTTATAATAATTGTGACCTTGACCTCTCAATCAAAATTTCTGTTTATCTAATTCCATTTGACCATTTTCAGTAACACTCTGTACTAAAAAGTAGAGGCACAAATAGAAACATTATTCTTCTTAAAAGTACTGGTATTGATATGAACATTCCCATTCTTTCAAAAAAATTATATTGATAAATAAAATTCCCGATAATTACATGCAGTGGCAAAATGTTCATTTTTATTGAAGTGTAGACAGGCCAGTAACCTGACTGTAGTATACACTACTATTTGCTGGTCACCACGCACTGGTAACATTGTGCTGGTTAAATCGAGCTGATGGCATTGTGCTGGTTACATCGCTTCACTACTATATGTGTAATCAAATAATTTAGATATGTTTATGAATATTTTTAGGACATTAAATGGTGCAAGACAATGTGTAGAAAAAATTAAATGGCTTGGGGGGTTGAATCTATTTTCATCATTCAAGTGTCTTGACATTAGTACTGGGTACTGTAAAAATTAGTTCTCAAACATTATACTTTACCCTTTGTCACTGGGCTGAAAATAAGTCAAACAAATTCTATTTCCTTTACAAACTTTCAGGTTTTCTTTCACCTACCTTATGAAAACATTATCAACAAATGGCAGTAAACTTGAACTGAGTTCTCCTCAACAAACATGTTTTGAACTTTTAGTTTTAATTTGAATAAATGCCCAAGTTTTACCTTGAATAGAAATAGAAAAATTCCAGAATAAACAACAAGGAATCTTTGGTTTGGTTTTTAATGCCAAGAAATTTAAAAAATGCATTCTTTTTTTGTGTCCACCACACCATAAAACAAAATAATCTCCCTGTACTTACATTGGTTCTGTGACAGTAAGTTGTCATTATTACACTGTGGGCAGCATTCATTAGTCAACTGTACTGTCTTCCTTAAAACTGATGGTGTTTTTTTTAAAATATGTATGAACTTTATTTTTCTAAGTTTTACCCAGGATCACATGATTAATTCTTAAAGTGTGTTTAAATAATTGAGACAAATATTCCATTCTTTCATCTGTTATTCTAAGATATATATATCATATATATATATATCTGCATTTATATATTATATGCCATTTTTTGTCATTAGATCATCTCCCTTGTTATAAAGTGCCTCACAAATGTAACCATTGAATTAAAAAGACTTGATTAAGAAAACTGCTAAACATGGTACTTTTGAAAATATTAAGATATGAAATATTTAGATTTAACTCTTATACCCATTACCAACTCTGAATTACTGCTGAGTACTATGAATCTATGAATAGTTGCTGGTCTGTGAACTCCCAATGAGCTGCTGGTTTGTTTAGTTTTGTACATGATGTACATAAACAAGTTCAAATGACTTACCTAGCAGCTTTGCATATATCTGGTTCAATTATTGTACTTTTTGTTTTCAAAACCTGCTGAACAGTAATGAGCAATACTGTATTCTTTTAGATTTATTTTAAACTGCTGTCAATATGACATACATAATACACATGGTTTTAACTCATACACATCATACACATCATATTTGTATTTAAAAATGAAAAATAAGAATCAACATGTTTTATTTGAATACTTGTACTAATTAGACATAAATGGAGTGGAACTCTGCTCAGACTGACAGGGCTGCCAAAGTGAGGTTCACACATAAAATAAGTGAATTAAAAGCATAACTTCTCACTTAAACTAATCTAACTTTAACACCACAAAGCTCAATAAACACAAGAGATTAATAAAATATGTGGTTGGTGTTTTTAAACAACAAACTTCACATATCTTCCTACTAAAAAAATACAACTCTGTCCAATTGGAATAATGTTAAGACCCGCTATTAATCTGATCTGATTTTATGGACCTAAATCATTACTTAACAGCAATTTTTCACTGTATTTATTTAACCTTACATTAAATAAGCCATGTTGGTATATCTGTAGAGTTTTACACTTTTGACATTGTTAATTTTTATGCAAGTATATTACATATCTTTATTATGTACCAATGTCAACAAATTAAAGTTGACAAATGTCCATAGACCTTGCAGTTTTGTAGGCCAATGATTCATCAGTGACAAATCAAAGTATTACCAAACAAACCAAATATGTTGTTTTTTTCAGATATTAATTTATTTATTCAAGGTAAAATTTTATCTCCAAGATTTCTGTACTTAATTCCCTAAGATATTGTTGGTCATGTCATGTGGGTGGTTTTATTTTATTTTTGTCACTTTAAAATTGTTCATGTCACTTACTTTATATATATATATATATATATACATATACGTTTTAAAGGTTGTTTAGTCTTGCAGAATATCTAAACAAAACACACTGTCCTTTCATGCAATAAAGTTATTTTTTTTTATATAATCTTAATCTCAGCATTCAGATTTATTTCTGAGTTTTACAAAAATATTTCATATGTCGAAGAAAAGAAAGTCCTGCACTCTATCACGTAAGCCATGAAAAATAAAAGCAAAACAGCAATTGATAGACAGAGTTATGGCAGAACCAGACTAATGCATTAGTAGATTACCTTGATGTCTTTTTTTGTTTGTTTTTCTCTTCCCTTTGCTTATTAATATTCATTGATTCTCAGAACTTGCTGTATCTTTGCTAGCATAGTTATACAATATTTGAATCATAGTCTTAATCCTGCTTTATTAAAACGATGTCATTCTTTTAATTAACTTGTCCTAGATATTTCAATCTCAAAGCTCTTATAACACATGTATACATCTTACATACACACACACACACATATATATATATATATATATATATATATATAGATAGATAGATAGATATATCTATATGCATTTATATTATATTAAACATTGCTCTATACTTGTGTATGGCTTTCTTGTTTCATTTTATTTCAATAAATAAGTAACAGCAAAGTTGTTGTTTAGCCTGGCTTGGCTGGCCTGCAAATTAAACAACCCCTAAAAACAAAGTTGTTTAGCCTGGCTTGGCTGGCCTGCAAATTAAACAACCCCTAAAAAAAAAGTTGTTGTTTAGCCTGGCTTGGCTGGCCTGCAAATTAAACAACCCCTAAAAACAAAGTTGTTGTTTAGCCTGGCTTGGCTGGCCTGCAAATTAAACAACCCCTAAAACCAAAGTTGTTGTTTAGCCTGGCTTGGCACCGGACGTTTAATTTGTTGGGGATTTTTGTTTCATGTTGTTTAGCCTGGGTTGGCTGGCCTGAAAATTAAACAACCCCTAAAAACAAAGTTGTTTAGCCTGGCTTGGCTGGCCTGCAAATTAAACAACCCTAAAAACAAAGTTGTTGTTTAGCCTGGCTTGACTGGCCTGCAAATTAAACAACCGCTAAAAACAAAGTTGTTGTTTAGCCTGGCTTGACTGGCCTGCAAATTAAACAACCCCTAAAAGCAAAGTTGTTGTTTAGCCTGGCTTGGCTGGCCTGCAAATTAAACAACCCCTAAAAACAAAGTTGTTGTTTAGCCTGGCTTGACTGGCCTGCAAATTAAACAACCCCTAAAAGCAAAGTTGTTGTTTAGCCTGGCTTGACTGGCCTGCAAATTAAACAACCCCTAAAAGCAAAGTTGTTGTTTAGCCTGGCTTGACTGGCCTTCAAATTAAACAACCCCTAAAAACAAAGTTGTTGTTTAGCCTGGCTTGGCTGGCCTGCAAATTAAACAACCCCTAAAAGCAAAGTTGTTGTTTAGCCTGGCTTGGCTGGCCTGCAAATTAAACAACCCCTAAAAACAAAGTTGTTGTTTTTTTTTTTTTAATCCTTTAGATGCATTTTTGTTTGCATTTATGTCATTGTACCACACGATTTATCATTTATGCGATTGTATCAAGTGATTTTTGGCCCGGAATGATTTTGATCCAACTTTAGTACATGTAGAACCTAATAGACTAAAGATAGATTTAAACCAACATAGCACACAAATACACAGCACCGTAGAACCTAATAAACTAAAGATATAGTTAAACCAACATAACACACAAATACACAGCATGTAGAACCTAATAGACTAAAGATATAGTTAAACCAACATAGCACACAAATACACAGCATGTAGAACCTAATAGACTAAAGATATAGTTAAACCAACATAGTACACAAATACACAGCACCGTAGCAACGGCTGCACAATTAATCCCCACACCAAAACACGCACCCAACAAATCATATTTCATCCATCTTCCCCTTGAAAGGCATGACAAACTGATTTTTGGGGGTGGGGCTGATAGTCTGATTGTGATAAAATGGGTTGTAATCGGCAACGAGTCTGTCTATTTGCCAATTTTCAGTTGGATAGATAGGATTACGGGAAGTGGATCAATTAGCCGTCTGAAGATTTTGCCACAAAAGCACGAACAAAAGTGAAGTTAATATAAAGGATTTAAAAATAATTGCTGTTTGCGGAAAATTAGTAAGTTGGTCTATTAAGCAATAAACATATATGTCTATTCAAAGGACCAGGAGAGATTTTTTGGAGAGTGTGTGTGGAGGCATTCAGACTTGCATAAACAGCGCTAAAGAAACTACCCATTTAGTTGCAAAACAAGCTTGACTCAAATTATTCAATGTATTTATATCAAAACTAGTAAATAAAGTATGTGACGTCATGGGTTTTTTTTTGGGGGGGGGGGTGGATCACATCGGAAATGTGAGCTGACGTCACAGCCCTGATGTATCCATTACCTAAGTGACGTCTACATAAAGCTTGGAGGCCGCATGGTCGAAATAGACACCTGAAGTTATCACATGACACTAAAATGTATCGCAATAATACATAAGAAGTAATTAAATTGCAATTACCCACGAAGTTATCACAATAACGTACACCAGAAGTTATCATCAAAGATTTTGTTTTCCAAATAACCTGGAGTATCTTCTGCAAGGCGCTTGGCATTGTCTGGTCATAGCATTTCTGTGCAGACTCTGCTGTCCACTTGTACTCATGGCATTGTCTGATCATAGCATTTCTGTGCAGACTCTGCTGTCCACTTGTACTCTTGGCATTGTCTGGTCATGGCATTTCTGTGCAGACTCAGCTGTCCACTTGTACCTTGGCATTGTCTGATCATAGCATTTCTGTGCAGACGCTGCTGTCCACTTGTACCTTGGCATTGTCTGATCATAGCATTTCTGTGCAGACTCTGCTGTCCACTTGTACCTTGGCATTGTCTGATCATAGCATTTCTGTGCATATTCTGCTGTCCACTTGTACCTTGCCATTGTCTGGTCATAGCATTTCTGTGCAGACTCTGCTGTCCACTTGTACCTTGGCATTGTCTGGTCATAGCATTTCTGTGCAGACTCTGCTGTCCACTTGTACCTTGGCATTGTCTGGTCATAGCATTTCTGTGCAGACTCTGCTGTCCACTTGTACCTTGGCATTGTCTGGTCATAGCATTTCTGTGCAGACTCTGCTGTCCACTTGTACCTTGGCATTGTCTGGTCATAGCATTTCTGTGCAGACTCTGCTGTCCACTTGTACCTTGGCATTGTCTGGTCATAGCATTTCTGTGCAGACTCTGCTGTCCACTTGTACCTTGGCATTGTCTGGTCATAGCATTTCTGTGCAGACTCTGCTGTCCACTTGGACCTTGGCATTGTCTGGTCATAGCATTTCTGTGCAGACTCTGCTGTCCACTTGGACCTTGGCATTGTCTGGTCATAGCATTTCTGTGCAGACTCTGCTGTCCACTTGTACCTTGGCATTGTCTGGTCATAGCATTTCTGTGCAGACTCTGCTGTCCACTTGGACCTTGCCATTCTTCAGCATTTGCACAGGCCTCGGGAATAGTTTCAGTTGCGGAGGGCTCGGGCTCGGGCAGTTTGAGAGTTGGTCACAACAGGTTCCTGTCACGTGTTTAACGCTTTCTTCTCCTCGGCCATTTTGTTCCACTTCGATGATTTTAGTTGAAGGTCCAGTCAGGCCCGCACCTAGGAAATTCTGGGCCCCAGGCGGCTGACAGAGTTCGGACCCTTTCGTGTTTCAAACATGTGCGTATATTTTAAAAGCTCGAAAAAGCGTGGGCCCCTACCTAGCTTGGGCCCCTGACAAGTGCCATGTTTGTCGTCCCCCCCCAACCCCCAGGTGCGGGCATGGTCCAGTGTGGGGGCTGTCCCAGTGTGGGGGCTGTCCCTGTGCAACCGATTCGTCCCATCTACGATGTGACCTAATCGCAAAGTATTAACCACGTGTAGAAACCCCTACTATCAGAGGGCGTCTGGCACCCCACCCCCGGGATTGGAGGGGGTCTTTTTGAGGACATTAAAATATATCCATCCCAGCTCTAAGAAAGCAGTGCCACCTGTCGACCAGAAGTTCCTTGATGCCTTATTGATGCCGCCCCACTCGTATAGTCACTCGAGTGGAAGGCGGGTGAGGCTGTCTCAGTGGCCGATTGCCACCGGCGTGCTGCTTCGCGGCCCGGCTAGTTAGCGCTATTCGGGTTGGGGGGGGGGGGGGGATATGTCGGGGAAGAACTAATGATTTCTGGCTCGACGGTCTGCTGTTTTTCTTAATATATTAGTTCAATGCCATGGCTTTGACAATTATTATTGTGTACTTTTGGTAGACTTTTTGTCCATCCACTTTCTATTCCTCTCTGCAAGTTTCTCTACAGTGGATAAATTGGTTTCATGCAAACTATTGCAAACAACAAACCCCTATAATTACTCTTTATGTAAAATCCTAAAATTAAGTCTCACTGATGGTGGGATCAAACATGCGGTCGCGTAGCTAGGATTAGTGCCACCCGGAGCTGGCCAAGATTTTTGCCGCTCTACTTTCACGAATAAAGAACTCAGCAGTTGACCGAAAATCCCACCCTCAGTATTAAGGGGGGAAAAAATGTCACACACCTCAGAACGCCTACCCCCCCCCCCCCCCCCCCCCCCCCCCTACCCACCCGTTCCCTTTGCTACTGAAAACACCTCGTAAAAAAATTCCCTTTTTCGCTTAAATCTTAAATAGCAAGTGGCAATAAAGGGGGGGGGGGGGAACGTACATACATTTTTTTTTAAAGTCCAAATGTTTTTAATTAACATTTTAATCTATATTATTTATTAGATGATATTTTCTGACACCCAGACGTAACATAAAGATGCTGCATAGGTAATTTTACCATATTTTCTGAATTCTAAGTACGGGCACAAAGGCTGACAGCAACTGGAACCATACCTCGGTGGGGATGTGGGGGGGGGGGGATGTATTTTGTTCTTGACCATAACATGCTTCGCTCGGGGTGCCATGTTGCCATCGGGCAGAACCATGAGAACAGGGTTTCTTTCAGAAATTTTACCCCGGGG